ATATTTTTTAAAATGCCTCAGAGCTTTATTACCTTGCCCAAGTTCTGACACAGTAAGTAGCAAATTACCAGTATTTGAACCCACATTTGCTTACCTCTCAAGCCCAAGCCCTCTACACTGTCAGCCTAGCTACTGCCAAGACCCTAGCAGTAATACAGACTAGCCCAAAGTTAATGGGTAACACTATGATCTAGAGTAGTGATTCCCAAGTGTGGCTGATTCATCAGAATCAGCTTAGATGCTTTTTAAAAGTACAGATTCCCCCCCATTCAGGCTTTAGATTGTGCAGGTCTGCAATGAAGCCTGAAATTTGTATTTTTACATACTTCCAGTGATTCTGATCATCGGTCTGCCTATTTACAGAAGGATTAAAGAAAAAAGGGGCCTGGATCAGCTATGAAAAACTATTTGGAGCCTGGATTTAATCAACAGAATTTAAAAGAAGAAACAATGAAGCAGTGGCTATGTCCAGGAGTGTTCGTGACAGTGATACCAGTCAGCCAGGGCTGGGAGACAAGATAGTGACCAAGTGGACAACCACTAGGAAGGAGCACTAGTAAGGAGCAGATACATCTGGCAGAGCCATACAGACCCCACACCATACCAATGACACCCAGCGCCTCTTGGACCACGAGCAACAGGATCAAAGTGGCAGAGGAGAAACCAATAGCAGCCAAGTATATGGACCAGGAATGGCAACTAACAGGCTACTGACATGCAAGCACAAGCTGGCAAGTCCTCAAGAAAGAAAAAACTGTGGGGAAAGCTATCTTGATCACCAGAATGCAAGCCGAAGTCGGGCAGATGGGAGTGGGGAGAAGGAGCTTGACTCACTGCTTTATCTCAAGCACTTAGTAGCTGCTTAAAAAATATCTGTGGGACAAATACACAGGAGGGTTTTAGAGGCTGGACACGGAAGTCAGCAAAGATGAATGAGTCAAGGATTTCTTTGAGATTCAAATCCGAAGGACCGAAATGAAAACAACAGTACTGCCCCATGATAGATGATAGACTTAAGGATAAAATAAAACAGGACTGCCCAGTTGGCTTTAGAAGTCAGAGAACAGTAGTTTGTTTTCAGCAAAGGCTCTTCTTCATTATTTCTGGCTTTTCTCAAAGACTTTTATTTTGGCTTCTAAGTCAATGAAAGAATTAGATGATTCTGAGATACTGGACGGCACTGTTGACGGTGGCAGGAATGGCAGATCTTCTGACTTGGGACGAAGGAAAGAAAGGGCAATCCTTTTGATTTTTGGCAGTGAAGGAAGGACAATCTAGTAGAATCTAAATTCAGATGGCATTCCTCACAGGCCCTACTGGACCACTGCCAACAGACATGCCAACAGCACAGTGGCTTGACTGGACACCCTATAAACCTTAATGACAGAACTGTTCCAGCGCTGGATGGCTGAGTCAGCCTCAGGGGCCTCGCCAACCTAAGGAGACTCCAAACCACCTCTAATTGGCCAATCAGATCTCTGGGTACTTGAAAACTAGCCCTGCCTAGGGAAAAAGTAGCTCACCTCTTAAAATCCTTTCCAAACTAATGATTACCCAAGGTGCCATTTGAAAGATCATGTTATATAATCCCTAATAGGCTGCCCTTCAAATGGTGGATGCCATCAAATCTAGATAATGCCAGGTCTCAAAAGCAGGAGTTGAAAGGCATGTTCAAATTCCTTCTTGTACACTCACATTCGGTAAGCCTGATATTGTAAGATCTTTCCTTCTTAAATGATGTCTACCTACTGCGAATATCCAATTAAGAGAGAAAGAGCCCTGGTAATTTGTTTTATTACCAGAAATTATACACACACCCCCACACACATATTTTCAAAATATCTAATCACACACTGTGTGTGTGTGTGTGTGTGTATAATCAGAAGATAGGGTCTTGCTCTGTTGCCTTGGCTAGAGTGCAGTGGTGTTAACTCCTGGGCTCAAGTATCTTCCTGCCTCAGCATACCCAGTAGTTGGGACTCCAGACATGTACAACCATGCCCAGCTAATTTTTCTATTTTTTGATGAGATGGGCTCTCTCTATGTTGCTTAGGCTGGTCTTGAACTCTTGGCCTCAAGTAATCCTCTTGCCTCAGCCTCCCAAAGTGCTAGGATTATAGGCATATGCCACCAGGCCCAGCCTCTAACCTGTATTTTTTTTTTAAACTGCAAAAGGTCCTATGATTTCATTTTTACTCCCCTTCTACAGCAAACTTTCCAGGGCTGCCCTTCATAATATACCAAGAGATAATCCATTGGTTCAAATCACTTGACAGTTTTCTTTTAGTTTACAGACATCTAAGTATGTTTATAAAATTTCCCTAATTCAAAATGCTTCCTTTTCTTAAACATATTTCCAGTTCGAATCATGTGTTTACAACAGTCTGCAATATATTACTTCTCAAGATAAACAGTCATGTAAAAAGTGGAGAGGAAACCGGCAACACATCACTACTGCCACACTCAGTCTTTCCCCTGGCCCGGGGGTTCCCGCAGAGAAAGCCCTAACCTGCCAGTGGAAAGTATGAATGGATCACTAGGAACAGGCTTTCCCTGCTGTCTCCAGCATCCATAAAGAAAGGGCTGCCAGTTCCTTTTCACAGGCAGCTTTGAGCCTCAGTCCCTGAGAACCTCTTTTTTCCCCCAGAGCTAAGTATAAAACTCACGAATTTACTAACTACAGGCATTTTTGCTTTCTTCCTTTTAAAAAGGGCTTTAAACACAGATCACTGCTTCTAAATCCCAGGAAACAGTTGCCGTTTTCAAATTAAAATGCAAAGTACTGGAAATAATATTCAATAAAGGCTAAATTTTTAAAAATTAAGTCTTTCAAATTCATGTATATTTATGTTGCTATACATGAAACAAATAGAGACTGAAGAGCAGTTTAAATGGACGGTTGGCCATTGTGGGCCTTGAAACAGCTTCTATTCAGAAAGACTGACTCACTGCCTAACAAAGGCTCTCTCCCAGTCTCCAAGTTGACATTTTCAAAATATCTAATCACCCTTTTGAATGATATTCCAATTACCCAAAACAGTGTCTACCACAATGAAGAAATTCACTTGGAAGGCATCCAATTCTGGTTTGAAGTGAGAAATATTAGAACCCCAAAGATACACATTTCAGGGGTAAGATGTCACCAGGGAGAACAGGTAAAGTTCAGCCAAAAAACTTCCTTCAGAAGGACTGTCAGAATTATGCAAAAACCCAGGGGGATGAAAGATAGAATCTTTGTCCAGAATACCAAAACAGTAACATTTCCTAGCAAATCCTGAAACAAGAATCAGAAAAGAAAAAAATATAAAGTCCTCTTTAGCCCTGTACAATTTTTAGGCAAGCTTCTCTTGAAATGTACTAGATAAAGTTGTCCCTTTGCCCTGTTTTGCAACAAGATGAGCAATAATGTTTTTCTGAAATAAACACCGAATAGCTCCCTTTTTGTGTCCAACAAGCCAAAGTTCATAAAGGATTAAACCGTCATTTGTCAAAGAGAAATACTGATAAGGCTCAGAGGTCTATTTTACAGCCTGAGTGAGCAACCAGTACTCACCCAGTCTATACAGTTTCCAATTCTACCTGCTTTCCAACCGCAAGCAACGTATGGGGGGGGACCTGCTACCACACACAGAGACACCCACACTTAGTAAAAGTGACCATCGGCTGTCATTGCCAAAGAGGTTTCTCAATCCTAAATTTGCCTCAATTCAGAAAAAAAGGAAGAAGGGGTTCCCAAAACCATCTAAAATTGATATAAATTGTCTTGAAAGAAAACAGTTCAGTTAATCCGAAATGGACACATTTAGTGGCAAAGTGAGGGAACCTGGGGACCAGAAGGCGCAGAAACATCGCACTCCCTAACCCAGACCCCAGAGGGCACCAGGGTTGTCGGAGGAATCGGGGTGCTGGGGCTTCCACCTGGCGGGACAGAGCTCCCGACCACCAGGTAGGGGCAGCCGCGGCTGAGGAGGCCAGAAGGCAGTTCCCTTTAGAGGGCGCTCATTGAGCAACGTAGAGAAACAACCGAAGGCCCCAGAAATGCTACCCAAAGGAGAAATCAAGTTCTCACCGCCAGGGCGCAGGCGGGAAGCTGGGTCCCGCAGCCTGCCCCGCGACTCCTGCGGGCCTCGGAGCGTCCCGCCAGGGCCAGAGAGCGCGAGCGCGGCGGGAGGGAAGCCTGGGTCCTCGATCGGCTCCGCGGCACCAGGCCGAGCGTAGTGTCACATGCACCCCCGCCCAGCCCTGCCCGCCGCACTCCAGTGCAGTCGGTATTAAAATGTCCTCCTGCCCCCCGAGCAAGACTGGGAATCCAGCATTCCGCGCCCCAGCACTTCGGGCACATTCCACGCACCCCCGCGTCGCCCCGCGGGACCACAGCCTGCGTTTTCACGCAATGTCTGTTACCTCGCCCCAGCCTCAGGGAGCATCAAACAAAAGAACTTGAGCAAACTTTTCTCACCGGACACTCGCGAGTCTCTCAAATCTGGGCCCCATCTCCCCCACAATGTGTATTCTGTAGACTAAGAAAGCTGACGTGGAAAGATGGTGTGCGGAGCCAGGGTCCCCAAAGTTTCCAGGTCATTCCTGGGACTCTGAGAGCGCGCGGAGCGGAGCTGTCCTCTCGCGGGCCCTACACGGGCTCCCTCTCCGGCCACCCTTTTCCCTCTTTCCCTGCCAGACCACGCGGCAAGACCCCCACCTCCACCCCCCGAAGGTGAAAAAGTTGGGAGTGACTTCAGGGGCCTCAGCGGTTAGACAAAACTGTAATTCCCGTGTCCGCATCTCTGGGGACCGCCGAGCAATTCCAGCTAGCAGCGCTTTTCGAAGGAAGGGAAGGGGGAAGAGGATGGAGGACTGAGCGCGTTTGTCCCGGCAGATCCCCGGGGTTGAGTGCCGTGGGAAGGGGTCCCCCAGGTGGCGCTCCTTAGTCCCACGCGGGCACCACTCGTGGCTTCCAGCACCCTAAACGGCGCGCGCGTCCCCCCACCTGGCCCACTCACCGACTCCGCCGACACGCAGGCCACCAAGCCCAAGGTGAGCAAGATCCACGCGCGCCGCATATTCCCCAGGGATCGGCTGCTCCCAAACGCCGCTTGCCTGCAACCGGGGTGAAACGAAGCCTCCTTGCCTGGCGCTCGGCGCGGCTCGCGCAGAGGAATCCCGAGCGGGGTAAGCGACTGCAGCGACTGCGGCTCCGGCTGGAGGGCTCGGGTCGGGGCTCGGGGGCGCCGGCTTCCTCCTCCCGCCGCCCGCGGCTGCGCCCGGGGGACGCAGCGCCTTCTCACTTGTTGGTTTTTGCACTCCCAGCGCGGAGTTGGGGCTCCGGGGAGCCTGCTCTCTGGAGCTCTTCTTGCTCTGCTGTGGTTTTACTCCTCCGCGGACTCGTTCCCCGGGTTGCGGTTCAGTTCCTGATTTTAAGGGATAAATTCGGTGGCTCGAAAGGGAGCTGCAGCAGAAGTTTGGGGGCAGAGCGGCGGGGGCGCGCGATCCGCGCGGCTGGAGCTCCGGGAGTATCTGGAGAGAAGCGCGTCCGAGCGGGGCTAGTGGCTCGGCGGCAGCGCCCCTCCTCCTCCCGCCCCGCCGCCTCCCTCCCCGGGTCCTCCCCCTCCTCCTCCTCTTTTCCTCCGGCTCCCTGCCTCCTCCCACCCGAGCCTGCTACTCCGGGCTCCTCCGGGCGACTGGGGAAAGGAGGCGGCAATGTGACTCCCAGATAAACCCGGGAGAAATTCCTACAGGATTACACCCCGATTGGCAGCTCCGAGGACCAGTGGGCGCCGGAGGCTCCGCGCTGTGGCTGTTCTGGGTCTGCTTCTCCGCAAACCACTGCGCCTTCATTTTCCTGCCCCTGTTTTCCCCTTTCTTTCCCCTCTTTCTTCTCTCTTCCACCACGCTGTTTTCTTCCCTATTTTCTTTTGCTCTTTCTCTTTGTCTTGATGTTCACTTTTCTAGAGAAAGAAAGAGTGGTGAAGAAACGAGAGACACGTTTAGACCGGTAGAAAGAAACCGTTTTGTGAATTGAAGAAAAAATGTTTATAGATGCCTTTATGCAATGTGAAGTGTTCATAAATCGCCAGGTGATGAAAATTGCATTTTTTTTCAAAAGACAAGAAATGTAGTAAATGTGTGGCAAGAATATTTTTCCACGCTTCTGAATCCCTCCACCACACCCCCCAAATTAAAGGGAAGTGGAGGGAGGTTCCTATAAACCCAAACTACAGCAGTTTCAAAGCTCATAATTTCAGTTAGGGCTTAAATACCGTTTCTGCCCCACACATAGTTTATGCCCCAAAGGCATTTTGTAAGCTCCAATCCAGCATAGAGGTGTTAACGTTTGAAAGGTACAAATAGGGTACCTTGATGAGAAATTGGATAGGGACCCTGAATAATAATAGATTTAAGAGAACTTCAAAGAAAAGAAAGATAAAGAAATTTCTAGTTTGAAAAAAAATAATGAACATGTGTTTCCTGAATGGAAGTAACTGACCTGAAATATTTTGTTATGAAGTTACTTTTTTTCCTTTCAATTCAACGTCAGTGGCATACTGTAGAACATGGCACTGCATATTCCCTTCCTGTTTCTACCACCATTTTTTTCTATGACGTACAGAATGAATGAATTATGGAGCCATTCTGCTCTGAGAATGCCCACTACAGGAGACCGGGCTCTTTCTGTTTTATTCACCACTCTATTCTCATTCCTGGTGCATAAAGACACACAATAAATATATCTTGAATAAATTACCCTCTAAGGCTCAATCTATACCAAATAAGAGTTGTGAGCCTTTAATATATAAAAGTAGATATATAGATATGAGGCTGGGGTAATTTTTGAACTCAGTATTAGGATAAAATACAATCGTACCCTAAGTGAGAATTACAATGTCTTAGCAACCTATTACTGCAATAAATCTCAAAGAAAGAAGTGTAACCGGAGAATTACAACTCAAAGTTGGAGATACCCAGGCTTTTTGGCTTTGGGTGCTAACCTACTGAGCTACAAGTGCCCAGGGGCAAATCTACAAGTGCTATTGGCAACCAAAAAAAGTAATACAGAGAACTAGGAGAGTGAGCAAAAAAAGAAAGAAACCAAGAAATAAAAGAGCAGGAGGCTGGAGCCGTAACATCAAATGGATGCTTCTGATTCCACTGGCACTGAGCTGGCACCTGTGCCAACGTGAGTTCAGACTGGTTTTGGAAAGAACGAACTGTGGCAGTATTTTCGAGATGGATTTGTATGTGTGTTGGGGGGTGTGTGTGAAGCATTTCATGAGATGGGGAGACTTCTGAAAGAAGATTCCAAAGGAAAATGGACAATGTGGATGGAAGAAATTCAAAGAACCGTAAAATATGCCCTCTGTCCCCATGAGGAACCTAGTTTTCTCACCAGCTGGCAGGCAAGGTCTCTCTCTCTCTCTCTCTCTCTCACACACACACACACACACACACACGCACGCAGTAAGGAATTCACCAAGTAAAATAGAATTCCAGTAAAACAGGAAAATGCACTCATTTCCTGGCTGTCACAGTTACTGCTGTTTATTGGGGCATCCACCTCACAAGAAGCATGGTGATTCTCTCTGATTCAGCTTGGGCAGACAGTTATGAGTAAGGGGATACAGGGCTGAAGGGATGCTTCTGTCTGCTGCCCTGAAGGCGTAGCCCTGGGCTCCTGTGAGCCTCTCAGTGACTAGTTTCTTGAAAGATGTTAATGCAGCATTGAGAGGGTAGGTAATAAGGGAATTGGTACCATTTTGAAAGTCACACAACATCAAGTATATGGCAAACAAATATTCAAACTCTAATCTTCAAATATATCAATGGCTATGGCAAGAAGGATAACCTGACATTGTAAAAAACAGGGACTGGCTGTAAATAGGTCACCCTTTTGTGATGGGGACAGGGTTAGAGGGCAGGAGACATCCCCTGGTATTGATCAGGAATATGGCTAAATTTGAGAATGATCAAGTCCTGTTTGTGTGTTTTGCTAGTTGGAACTTTTTTAAAAATTGATAAGGACTAAAATCTGGTAAAATTTTGTAGAGTGTATGTAATCCTCTAACTTGTGACTAGGACCAAAGGTTCTTTACTAACGTGTTTTCAAGTCCTCCAGTTTGAGAGCCGAGGTTTGAGGGGCACGGCCTAATCCCCATCACTTCTTGAATGGCTTCAGTGATTGCTAAAAGAGTAAACACCCTACTTCAAGATCCTAAGAAGAAAATATTAAAAATGGAGAGACTATGGAGACTAAAATGTAGTAATGTAAAAAAAAAAGTAGGAATTAAAGAGACTCAGACATGAAAAAATAGAAATGAGAACTATGAAGACCGAATTTTTAACCTAAGCAGACACATTCGACTCTGTCATTACCGAATCTAATAACATCACATTATAACCGTGCACAAGCAGGTGCTTTTTCCCAAGGTGAGCTGTCAGAATAGGGGACGCTGCAAAAGGAAGAAGCTGCCACTGTGTGGTTCTCGGTTGTTCTTCCACTTGCTGCTTTCTGGAAGGTTACCAGGGAGCAAGGCTAGAGATCAACATGGTAGAATCAGCCCTGACTAAATTCACATGAAAGATGATAAAACCTGAGCGTCCGAGGAAATCCAGCCAGTCCGCTGTGAATGACCCATTGCTAATAATGGCAAGCAACTGGAGCCATGACGAAAATCTACGGGTGATCCAAAAAAACTATTTTTGTCTTCAGATTTTCCACTGTTCTATTCCCTTCCAACAACTCTTCGCCAGGGAAGTTGGCCAGTTTGAGTTTTATAAATCGATATGGTGCTAATGGTGAAGAACATTGTCACATTTTGGACAGCAGAACACAGACAGGAAAGTTAAGGAACTGTATAACACATAAATGATCACCTGAATAAGACAAGGGACAAAACACAGCAGTCTCCCTCACAGAGTGACATGATTCTTAAAAGGCTGACAAAACTTGACATTCATTCAATCAACAAACATGCATGAATCACCTGTTGCATGTCAGATATTCTCCCTGGGTAGGAAAGTGAGCTTTCCTGAACATCTCAGAGTTAATACATTTTTTTAACCTGAGTTATTCTCAAATCACAAATCCTTGACTAAGGTGCATAATGAATGTCATTCTAAAATCAGATATAGTTTAAAGAAAAACATTATAGGATACGTTGTTGTTGGGCATCAAACATTTTCCTATGAGCCATATTTGTATATATGAATTTAAGAAGGTACCACAGAGGTATCTTCAAGTTATTTGCATTGTATTATGTAAAATGGTACTTTTTTTAATTGACAACTGAAAATTGTATATATTTATGATGTACAGCATGCTGTTTAAAAATGTGTATATTCTGTATGTAGAATGGCTAAATCGAGCTCATTAGCATATGTATTACCTCGCAAACTGATTATTCTTTTCTGGTGAAAACACTTAAATTCTATTCTCTTAATGATTTTTAAGGATATGTGATATTGGTATTAACTATGGTCACCAAGATATAGAATAGATTTCTTGAATTTGAATTTATTCATTTTGTCTAAGTGAAATTTTATACCCTTTCACCAACATCTTCCCAATCCCTTCCCCTACCCCATTCTACTCTGAGTCTGAGTTCAACTTTTTTAGGGTCCACAGATAAGTGGGATCCTGTGCTATTGGTCTTTCTGTGCCTGGATTTTTTTTACCTAGCACAGTGTCCTCCAGGGTCATTCATATTGAGGGAAGAGAATCAAACAAACCAAAAAGTAGTAATGAGAGCTACAGAGGACAGAGTTTTTGACCTACATGGACACATTAGACTCTGTCATTATGTATCTAATGACAGACATCACATTATAACCATGGACAAACAGGTGCTTCTTCCAAGGTGAGTTGTCAGAAAGGAGACACTGCAAAAGGAAAAAGATGTCTCTCATAAATGACAAGATTTCTGTCTTTTTTAAAGCTACATGGTATTCCGCGTGCACGCATGTGTGTACACACACCACATTTTCTTTATCCATTCACCTGTTGATGGATTATTACTTTAATGGCAGCTAACCCTAACCTCATTCACTATTCTTAATGATCCATCCTCTCTAAGGCCCTGAAAGGGAGCCCTGGATGCTCCATACTAGATGGTTTTTTACACCTCCTTGTTCACAGTTATATAGAGCAGCACTGGGAGTGGAGGAGGTAATTAACAAGTGGGCCTTTGGCCAATCAAATTCACCTTTCGCATCATTTGAACCCAGGAGCTCAGAGTCTTAACCTGATTGCATGTTGACCTGAGAGACAGACAAAACTGATGAGAGGTCCTTGCGTGCTGAAATAGAAAGGGTTGATCTGTGGTGGTAAGAACAGACAAAGCAGTAACAGAGGACATACGGCTCCAGAATAATATAGATTACTGATTTTTTTTATTTCCTTTTCTATCTTCTTTTGAAACCCAGATCAATTTTTTTTCCTTTAGGTTCTATAAGATATTCTGGTACTATTAAGGTAACTTCCTCATTTTAGCTATTTAGGAGGGCTTCTGTTCCCAGTAAACAAATGAGCCCAGACATGAAAATGAAGCAAAGAGTTTTGATTCCTTTATCTTTCCTCTAAATAGGATGGAAATCTTGCCATTTAGTACTTTATGAGGCATGGGTATGGGTAAAGAATAATCTTAACGAAATCAACTGCTCTTAAAATTATTTGGATTTTCAGG